GGGGTTAACCCCCCCCCCCTCGCTACGGCCCAGAGTTTTTCACTTCATCACTTTATCATAATTAATTCGTTGTCGGAAAATTAGTCACTTGCCAAAAACATTTACCAAAGTGGCTCTGAAGGTTCTCTGGCTCACTATCAAATTCGGATTCCCCAATGGCAATGCTTAAGTCACTGGGCCAAAAAAAATGTGGGTTTCCGACCCTACCTAGCTTTTGGACGTCGAAATCCCTACCCTAAACTTTTTTATTGGATCATGCTTGTAAGTGTTTCCACTTAGAGGAAAAAGTTTGTGGAAAATTGAAATTTGAGGCAATATTGGGGAAATTTATCTTTGGATGTGGAAGCACTGATTAAAGCTGATTACTGTATGTCACAGAAATACAGTTATTGTAACTAAAGTGCCTTGTCTTAAAGGACGTTATGAAGCAATGTATTTCATTAAAAAAACACCAACTCTCATAATGTACGAAATGCCATTTCAGACCCCCGGACGTTTACACAGGTGCATGTCATCCACATCCCCAATCTCACTCTTAACTTCTCTGCAAAGTTGAGAGGTCTGCAATTATTTTGAATTCGACAATAAATACTATCTTCAGACCCAAGGCACTGCTATGGGTTCTCCAATGGCGCCCTCATATGCCAATCTTTTCATGGGTCAATTAGAACACAACATGCTAAGGGATGCCCCTGGTGGATTGATTCCACTTGAGTGGATAAGATTCATCGATGACATCTTTGCAGTATGGACACATGGAATTGATAAACTAAAGGAGTTCCTACATTATATTAACAACTTCCATCCCACTATTAAATTCGAATTTGAGTACTCCTATGAAAAAGTCCATTTTCTTGATACTAGTATTTACGTTAACAACCTCAACCAACTGGAGTCCGACCTTTTTATTAAACCAACAGACAAAGCTCTACTTTTACATAATGGGTCCTTTCACCCCAACAATTGCAAAACTAGCATCATATATAGTCAAGCCCTTAGATACGTTCGACTAATTACTAACCGTAACAGATTAAATTAAGTGAACACCTTCAGGACCTACGTGTTAATCTAAATACTAGGGGATATACTAACAATGTAATTGATAATGCCTTTAATAAAGCTCTGCAATAAGCATAGTACAAAACATGGACTGGACTGGACAGTTGGACTGGACTGATTTTTGATTTTCTCTATTCTTGACTTGCACGTCACCCGCCATGTCAGGTGGCATGGCACAAAAGAATATTTATCACATAATAGATATACCATGTCTATTTTGTGATTTTATCGATGAACATTGTCTGGTGTGTACCAGGAGGAGATTGGTTGCAAGTCATTAATATAACGTTTTGCACCTGAATTACTTTCGGAATTGATTTTCGGAAATTGAAATACTTTACCTTCGCCGGTGACCTCACTTTATAACTGGAGTGAAATCTCTTAAAGCGAAAGAAACCCCAGTAGGTAGAATAGAATACAATACCAAACATAAACTAGAGGGTCTTAATGGGGGTATTTGGGTGTCAGTTGTCAGCTAAAATTTAAGCCAGTTGTCAGTTGTCAGTGCGATATATTGCAAGCTGTCAGTAGTCAGTTACTGCAAAAAAGCTGACTCATCATTTTTTCATCATTTCTCAGTTGTCAGTTAGGATATTTTGTCAGTTGTCAGTCAAAAATTCAGGCAAATGTCAGTAGTCAGTTAACCCCATTCAGACCCTCAAACTACCTATCTGTCTTTGCTAGCGCTATGGGTAGCCTGCTCGCATACGTATTAAATTTCGATAGTTCAGTCTGCATGGCCATGGGCGTAGGAAGATCGATATTTTGGGGGCTCATATTCATATATTCGTGTTCTGCATCATTTACTTCTTTTGAAATTGATTGCTTTATGAATATATGAATATGAGCCCCCCCAAAATACCGATCTTCCTACGCCCATGGCCATGCAGACTGAAATATCGAAATTTAATACGTATGCGAGCAGGCTACCCATAGCAAAGACAGATAAGTAGTTTATGTCTGGTATTGTATTCTCTTCTACTTACTGGGGTTTCTTACTGAGATTTCACTCCAGTTATAAAGTGAGGTCATCGGCGAAGGTAAAATATTTCCGAAAATCAAAAGTAATTCAGGTGCAAAACGTTATATTCTTGACTTGCAACCAATCTCCTCCTGGTACACACCAGACAATGTTCCGATCGATAAAATCACAAAATAGACATGACATGGTATATCTATTCTGTGATAAAATATTCTTTTGTGCCATGCCATCTGACATGGCGGGTGACGTGCAAGTCAAGAATAGAGAAAATGTAAAAATCAGTCCAGTCCAACAGTCCAGTCCAGTCCAACTGTCCAGTCCAGTCCAACTGTCCAGTCCAGTCCAACTGTCCAGTCCAGTCCAGTCCATGTTTTGTACTATGCCTCTGCAATATACTCAGTCCAATCTACTAATTGGGGAGAATGAGAATAATATTATTCGCATTGATGGTAATGCTACTAACCAGCGCCCAAATAATGAACCTAATAGCAATAAACCTATACTAACGTTCTCTGTGCCCTATAACACTAATACCATGCACTCATATAGGATCTATCTTGCGTAAACACTGGCATCTCATTGATAAAGACCCAACACTCAAGCTTCTATGGCCAGAACCGGGTTCGATATGGTGAGACCAGTGCTGTAGAACTAAATTTACCAGAGGGGGGAGGGGGGCTCTCTCTTGACGAGCGTGAAGCCGTGAAATCATAAAAAAAGTGACGTGATATGACGACCAGGGGTGAGCCATACGATGACCAGGGATAATCCTATAGCCCTTACCGCGGCGGCATTTTTTGTTGGGGGGGGGGGGTACTCGTAGCGAACGCCGAAGGCGTGAGCCTTCTGGTACTGGGAGGTCCAGGAAATTTTGAAATCTGAGACTTCTCAGAGCCCCGGAAATGCAATAAAACCTGCTAGTTTCTCTTAAAAATTTAATTCTTGAACGACTCTTAAGCAAGCCATTATATACGAGTAAAATTTATTCGCTTAATACAGTTTCCTTGAATACATTTCTTTCTTCAAAATTTAATGCCTTATTTAAGCGTAATTTAAATTGCACTTTCCATACTTATCGTCCTTACCTTTCTTAGAAATGTTTTTTTTTCTGGAAAGTGCGAGCCCACTAATCCATAACAAGAAAATAATAAATGAACAAACACCTGTCTAGCGTACTAATGATCGAAGACTGAACTAATCTACATAATTATGTGCAAGGAATAATATATGATAGTCCAAACTAATCTATGATAGTCCAAACTAATTATAATTCAAAAGTCTGACTAATTCTGCTGGAGTTTTTTAAATCAAAACTAAATATTTTTAATTTGTTGAGATTGTAACAGAGATCCTGCTCCGTAAATGAACCAAAGTTACGTTTTCTCTTGTCGTTCTTGGATATGAGTACATTCGGTATTTAGTATCGCCAGATGACTGAATCTCCTCTGTGACATAATAAATTCTCGATTTTCTAAAGTAGAAGGGGGGCTCAGCCCCACCAGAGTTTGAAGAAGGGGGGCTCCGCCCCAAGCGACCCCCCACTTCTACAGCACTGGGTGCGACACAGATTTTGGAGTTTCGTCATTGGTCGTGGCAATACTGGATAATTTGGCCAATTTAAAGCAATAGAAACACCACGTTTTGAATACAAATGTACAACAACTTATAATACCAGCTGTATGATATCTATCCATAAAGCAGACATTTTGTCCACATACTATAAAGAATTAATTGTCCTAATTGGCACTTGAAAGAGATTAAAACTGACGTCAATAGACAATTTTTCATACCATTCCTTGACTGTGGCATTTCCTACGATGACACCTATATGAAACCACTGGAATAGACTCGACATCATTGCATGGTTGGTCAACCTTTCTAATTACCTACAGTTGGACTATTAAAACAGAGCCTGATGTTTTTGGACATGCATGTGCCTAATATGTTTGGACGGCTAATAGCAATAGTTTTAATAATTCCTTTACCTAACTCTAATCCTCTATGCATGTCAACATGCATGTTATACCTTAGGCGTCATACGCGTCCAATGTAGAATTATTCAGCTATGACCAGCGTATAACGTACCAACTTATTCCCAGTCCTTATTTCAGTTTTCATATGACCATTGGTTCCTTGCCCAAGTAACACGAACATGCTTGTCAAGTTTTATTAGTATATTATGTAAATATAATGGATAACTCGAATCCTCCATCAGCTCCATGTGACAAATTAAGACCTACTACAAATAACGATTGGTCGATCATATCATATCATCAATATTATTATCGTTGTTTGGCTTTGTTATATATATACATATTCAGTTTTTTGGTCACTGTATACTCATAATTTTATATGTACATATTCAGTTTTTTGGTCAATGTATACTCATAATTTTATAAGATCAAACCCTGCACGGTGTAATTATTTATTTATTTTTTCAAGTCCCTACTGATCACCTCTTATTGCCATACCTTCCTACCCCTATCTAATTAGCTCCCTTCACCATATTAGGATGCAATCCGGCACCTTCAGTCACATGATCATACTATGATATAAATCCTATCCCACCCCTACCATCACTTCATTCATACTCACTGTACTATTGAGTAAGCCACAATTTGAAAGGACCAATTCATTGCTCCACTTTAATTTACAAAACAAAAAGATGAACAGCAAGATGCGTGTTGGTATGTCTCGCCATAACAAGACATTTGGTAGGATAACGTGACTTATAATATGCAGTAGTTTTATCACTATCCTTCAACCTTTCATTTTTGTTTCTGTGCCATTGTTTATCCGAACTCCTAAACTCTCCTTCATTCTCTTCTGCAAAATTCACCAAACTCCTAAACTCTTCTTCATTCTCCTCTGCAAATTCTACCTACACCCCCCTTTAAAAAACCCTGCTGAAGAAGACTGTTAGGTCGAAACGCGTACAGGGTTGCCTTTCCTTTTCTCTCCTTTATCTCTCTACTTATCGTTTCCAATTAACCAATTCATCCCTCCTTCAGTTTCTATAATCGTCATTGCCATAATTTATCACGTACATGCAGTTCATACTATTGAAGTTGAAGTAAATAACAATAAATTTGAATATTGGTCCTATAATGATTTAGGTTACACAATGTCTCACACCAGTACTTGTCCCATTACCTATTTACACCAAAACGAACGTGTTAAGAACAAAGAGTTCAATATGCTTAGTCCATTCACAGATGACAAAGAAATCATAAGAGTCGGCGGACGAGTGGACAAAGCTATCGTAACGTATGATTCGAAGCATCCAGTACTTCTTCCCAAGAACCACCACATTTCATATACCTGATTACCAAAGATGTACATCAGATTACTCACACTGGGATAGCGTCGACAGCGGCGAAAACAAGAAGAAAATTTTGGATTATCGGAGTGCAAAAATTGGCAAAGTTAATCAAGAAAAAGTGTATTTACTGTAAGAAGTCGAATCCAAAGATTGAATCGCAAGTTATGGCTGAACTTGCCGAAGATAAGATTGATGCCTCAAACACCTCCATTTTACCATACAGCTTGTGACTATTTCGGTCCGTATAAAGTCAAAATTGGAAGAAATAAAACCACTAAACACTATGGTGTTTTGTTTACTTGTCTGAATACTCGGGCAGTTCATTTGGAACTTGCAACAGACTGTTCAACAATGGAATTCATTCAAGTACTCCGAAGATTCTTCGCGATTAGAGGTTACCCTTCATTAATGTTGAGCGATAATGGAACACAACTGGTCGGCGCAGAGAGCGAACTACCAAAGATGATCCAAGGTTGGGATGTGAAGAAACTCAAGGAGTATGTAGCAGATAAAAGAATGGAGTGTAAATCCATTACACCTAATGCCCCACATCAAAACGGATGTGAATTTCACTTTTCAGTCGGTTATGAAAATAATGCATTGTTTTTTTTTGTCTCTTTCCGGTAAACTAAACAAAAGCTTTAATTGTGTATTTCAGCGTTGCTATATATCCCTGTGCCACATGGAAGAAATTATTTCGCTGATCTCAGAATGACATTTCGTCAAAAAATTTTTCTTCAAGATTGGTATATACGATATGGCAAGACACATACATTTTATATATGAAGAAGTGCGACAAGGAAAATAACTATATAATGACCCTGGCAAAACACACAAAGCTTTTGTTTATATAGTTTGGAAAACACAAAAGAAAACAATGCATTATATTCATAACCGACTGAAAAGTGAAAGTTTGTACTGCATGTATTTACATGATTTTTTTGTTTTGATGAAACACATGAATGCTCCCATCTTCATCCAAAGTGAAACCCTCAGTTTAAAACGTAGTCTATTCTGAAAAACGGCTAGTGTAATTTTTGGAAAAAACTGTTATTGCATTGAAACTGTTATTGCATTGAACTTTTAAAAACAAAAACTGTTATTGCATTGAACTGTTAAAAACTGTTATTGCATTGAAAAAATGTTATTGCATTAAAAAAAAAAACGTCGCGTGTAATTTATATTGCATTGAAAAAACGTCGCGTGTAATTCTGAAGAAAAAAACGGCGAGTGTAATTTTGAAGGAAAAAAAACGAGTGTGTAATGGTGAAAAAAACGGCGAGTGTGTACAGTTATGGCCCTTCTCGGCTATCGTACCTACGACTTTCTCGGAAGAAGTTATTTCGCTGGCCTCAAAATGACATGACGTCATTGTTAGCAATTCTACGAAGTTCATACGAGCACACGACAAAATTCAAGATGGCGGTTATCAAGGAGTGTGAACTTTAAAATAAGGTTTCCGTTTTTATAATGTAGAAAAAACCATCCTAACGCAAAACTAAACCCTAACCCTAATACTAACCTTAACCCTAACCCCAACCCCAACCCCAACCCTAACCTAACCTAACCCTAACCTAACTTATTTAAAAAATTGATATAAAAACGGAAATCTTATTTTGAAGTATACTATCTAGCAATTTCCAATTATTATTTATACTGACTCTTTCAATCCTTGATTAATCAGACTTTGTAAGCAGGTCTCAGCCGGTGATTTTATAAATATAAACAACTATTGGGGATTTGCGCAGCATATAGTTTTATTTCAAAGTTGTATATATTACACGCGACAATACAGTCCAGGCCTGGTTTCAGAGGCATGGATCGAGCAAGATGCAGTGAGGGGGAATGCCTTTGTACTATTGAGGGGGGTTTGCGGCAAAATATTATAATTTTGAATGAAAAAAAACCATAGCAACCAAAGTAAACATAGAAAAAATAAACCGTTGCTAACTGCAGAATTATCGGATATCTTTCTACATAAATGGATATTTTGACGAAAATGTTTAAAATATCCGAATGAAAACACCATGAAGTGAAAATATAATAGTTTATGAAATAAATAAAGCCAAAAAAAATATTTAAAAACTTTTAAACTGTTCCTGAAATTTTAGAGTAGACAACCACCTTATTGAACTTTTACACTTCGCTTATTTGCCTGGTGATGCATGTAATATGGCATGTTATAAAATATGGACTGGACCTTGGACTGGACTGGACTTGTAAAATATGGACTGGACTTGTAAAACATGGACTGGACTTGTAAAACATGGACTTGTAAAATATTGACTTGTAAAACATGGACTTGTAAAACATGGACTTGTAAAACATTTGTAAAACATTTGTAAAACATGGACTTGTAAAACATGGACTTGTAAAACATGGACTTGTAAAACATGGACTTGTAAAACATGGACTTGTAAAACATGGACTTGATCTTCGCGCGAATTTATTATCGATGATATGTTTCTCTATATGTACACCTATATAGAGAAACAGGTAAAAATACACGAAATATTCTGCTGTGCTTGCTTGTCCCTGCCCAACCTTATTTTGCATTTGGACAGACAATAACCGAGTCAACATAACTTAACTTTTTTTTAATCCTTTTTGCATATCTATGTTAAATAGTTTTTTAACTATAACATTTTGACAATAAAACTTAGATTTGACAGACAATTGTTTCTTCACTTGCGAGTTCGAATCCCAAGGGACATCAAATGTAACATTTCCATTGAATGAATGGAACTTGAACTATTATACAGTCATAGGCGTACGGGACGGGGGGGGGCAGGGGGGGGGGCAGCTGCCCCCCCAACAAGATTACAAAGTCGAAAAGGCAAATGTTCAACAAAAGTCGGGCAAAAGTCGGGCAAAAAGTAGTCAAAACAAGAAAATCTCTCTTAAGGTGGCTCGATATAGTTATCACGAAAACCCTGCTCAAGAATCGCGAACTCAAAACCGGGTGACCATTTTTACGCGCAGGTCGCGGAAACTGATTAACAAAATGACAGAACTTCCAAAATGACCTGACGTAAGCAGCTGCTCGCGCCATCTCACGTCATTTCGCGTGTTCTATATAGCGTTTTATGTCAATTGCTGACGTCATTAGAATTTTCCATTTTAGAAAAACAATACGCTATATCTCTTTATTTTGTCTGGTAACCTATGTTCAAATTTTGCATGCTGTATTGCACCGCTAAAAACTTTCATTATACAAAAAATAAAAAAATTCTGTAATGCCAAAAAATTTTTACCGAAGAATATGACATTTTCGCATTTTCCAAAAAAATGGCATTACAGAATTTTTTTGTATTTTGCTAATTGTTAGCTTTTCGTCCAAGTACAATAATGCAAGAAAAAAAATTGGGGGTCACCATGCTTCTTTTCCAACTATACGAGACGAAAGGCCATTTTGGAGTGTATTTTGTATACGTATGTCGTCATAGCAACGAACTATCTGTTACTAAAACTAATATAATTTGAAAGTAGAGATATCGAAATATATAAAAAACCCAATATCTGCTGAATATATTCTAAAAATGCATAATTTGAACATTTCAAAGTGTTGAACACCTGAATTTTTGAAAACTGTATCGAGCCACCTTAATAATAACCCCAGTTTGTTGGGCAAACAAAGCCAGTATTCGCTTCACAGTCGGGCAGTATTTGGTCAAATAAAATAAATGGGACAAATTCTTTCAATTTTGTGGGATATTATGTCAATTTTTCGATTTTTGGGAAAATTTGTTTGATGTTCCGAAAAATTTTGGTATGTCCGAAAATTTTTTGGACCCCTAAAATGGTACACCGACCGAAATTTTTTTGGCGACGGATTTTTTCGCCAAAATAAATTGTTCCGGAAAAAAATGCCATGAAATATAATATATTATAATATAGCATTTGTAAATTCTGAACGCTGATTGGCTAAGAGCCGTGTTGATATAACTCCATGTCAACACGGGAAATTTTCCGCCGCTTATAAACACGGAAATTGTTCTTATTCTTCGGGCTTTTGACATTGCTATATTATAAAACAAATATAAAACATTTTTCCGTATTGATATATAGTTATATCAACACTCGTGGAAGTTGGGAAAACTCGAAATTGTGTGAAAACACTCCGCCCTTCGGGCGTCGTGTTTCCACACAATTTCTCGTTTTCCCAATTTCCACTCGTGTTGATATAACTGTATATCAACACGGAAAATGTTTTATATTTGTTAAATGCAAATTTTGTCTATTACACGTTGTGACATGAAGTTCAACATGAATTGTCTGTGATGTTATTGCTGGCTCACAATACAATGTAAACAAGTCGACGTCAAGGGTATAAAACCACTGTTATAAAACGTTCCGTGGTGGTTGTGTACGTATTTTTCGAAGAATGTCAAATTTAAGTCAGAAATTATTTGGTGTTATAGTCTGTGACAGCCAGGCTAAATGGGGAGGATCAGAAGGCATTGCCAAACGAGTGGAAGATGTATTTGGGACGAAAGAAGGGCGATGGAAAACGTTTGTGGCTGAGCAAGGTCAGTTTCCTACTGAAGAGGAATTGAAAACATTTCATGGGTTTTATATCACTGGCAGTAAGCACTCTGTCAACGATGATACACAAGCATGGATCAAACAACTGGAATTATTTATACAACGAGCACATGCCTTGAAAAAGCCTAAAGTATATGGCACATGTTTTGGTCATCAAGCTATATCAAAAGCACTTGGTGGGAAAGTCGGCAAGAATCCTAGCAAACGTTTTGTCTGCCACAACGAGACAATTGTGCTATGTGAAGCTGAGAATGATTCAAGGTTCCTAAACGACTTGAAAAAAATCAGCGAGAAGAAACCGTTTCGTATACTTCAATCCCACGGGGAATGTGTCGAAGAATTACCAGCTAATGCGAAAAATGTGGCAAGTTCTGAGTCATGTAAACATGAAATTGTATTGTATAGTGATAATATTATAGGAGCTCAGTCACATGCCGATTTCTTTGTAGAAGATCTCTTAGATGTAATTTTACCCTCGTTATTGGAGAGGAAAGTCATAACACAAGGAGAGTTTGATCACGCTCGTGATTCATTTAAGCAACCTATAGCTTGTTCAGATATGGCCGTCGCTGTTCGTGACTTTTTGAACTCTTAAATAAACTGATAGAATTTAATGATTGGGAACTATGACTGTAATGATGATGGATATATTAGAACACAATTTAGCTTTCCAAATGTGCTGATCCAAGTTATAGAGTGAAATGGGACTTTTTATTTATATTGTATTTTAAATATTGTAATCGGAATTAGATGATCTAGAACTTCCTGCCACTCTCTGCAGAGTATATTTATTATGGTTTAAAATATATTATGTGGTAACATACATATAGTAGAAGTGTTGTGCCCCAATGGACCCTGCGTCACTATTTTACACTGGGAGAGTGGTGGTGCTCAATGGGTTATATAATTAATCACATCTGCCCATGTGTACAGTTAATCCATTAAGTAGGACGTGTCAAACAACCTTTGTTAATTTATATGCACTTCATTGTTTGTTAGTAACAATTTACAGAACAAAGCAGGAAAGTTAAGTTTACAGCTATCTCAAGTTTTGCTACAACAACCATTAAAGGTGATCTACAGTCCGTATGTAAACAAAGCCTTTGTTTACATTTTTGTGTCCAAAATATTGAGCTTTATTCGACAACTATTTATATTTTCAAGCTTCTAGAGTATAATAAATGATCAAGAAACAACAATCAGGCTTTTCACGAACTCAAAACATAGTTAAACTGTTTGTATCATAAAAAGTGGGCTCATTTGTGCACATGCGCAGATCGGACTGTAGATCACCTTTAACAGTGCAGCTTTTTTTAATACCACAGCATGGTGGGTCATTTTCCATTCCCCACCCTTGGAGGAAAAAAAGTTGTGCTGCCTAGATTTTTGGACCATAGGTAATTCAACTTTTTTTATCAATTGGTTCACTTGAGCAAATGACTTTATCAAGTTATTCAGATAACTTTCTCGCTCAAATTAACAATTCCGAAGTTGATGAGTGGACAGGGGACGAGTGTTAAAAAGTGCCCAAATTAAGAAATGAACCAAATCACTAATGCGTCAGCTGTCAGTCATTTGAAACTGTGAGCGCCTGCGAAATGTTGACCAGCAGGATTCCCATGAGTTGCCATATTGTTTTTATGGACGTACGTTGTGAACATGGGGACCGGCTAAACGGAGAGTTATGAAGTGGAGAGTTATCTCGGAGAATTATGATTTTGGAGAGTTATGTTTGAACCACGCCCAAACCACGCCCACTTTTCCCAACGACCACACCCAATTTCTTAACTCTCTCGACGTTTCCTTGAACTAACATGACTGGAGAGTTATGTTTGACGTAACTCTCTCTCGTTATGAAGATGTTAGAGAGTTATCATTTTTTTATAACTCTCCGCAATGAAGAGAGTTATGTCAGTTTTTTTAAAAAAACTTCCACATATTAGTAAATTTTTGTAAATTTACTTTTTTCTCAAGTGTCAGCTTTATCAGTTCACGCTAGTAGAAACTAATAGTACTTTAGTACTTACCAAGTTCATCTATATGTAAATGTTTATATACATGCTCACTTGGATTATCTAGCAAGACCAGCATTCAGATACAGCTCTCGTATTAGATAGAACCAGAAAACCTTTCCAATGTAATGCCCTATTGGCTAATCTGGGAAAGTATTTCCAAAACCTGAATTGCTGAAAGATTCAATTTATTAATTTTATTGCAACTATGCTTACCGTATCTACTGCCAAATACACGTCAAAGCATGCTCTGGGGGTACTTTGACCCTTCTGATGCAAGCATCTCATTGTTTTGACCGAGTCAAGTTCTACTATTTCCTGTTTGGACGCACGCTATTGACACTCTACAAACTGAAATACCAAAATATAAGATGAAAATCTGAAGAAACAAGCTTTACTAACGTTCTCTCAAACAACTGACTTAACTCTATTCATTGCCATAATCGTGAACGCGGAGAGTTATAAAAAATTATAACTCTCTAACATCTTCATAATGTTAACGAGAGAGAGAGTTACATATAACTCTCTCATGTTAAAACTGTGGCAATTGATACACTAGGCGGAAATCTTAGTTTAAAGGTAGGTTACAGTCCCTTCTGCGCATGCGCGGGCTTTGTTTACGTTTTTTGTTTTGATCCACATTAATTGTATAAGATGAAGTATATGACGAGTTGAAAGTAACATTCCACATAAATTGTGACCAAGGAGTGCAATGTTTGACAATACTTCGCTTCATTTCTTGTACATTTCTACACTGGAAATTTTTGTACACAATAGCACAATCTTATACTGTAACTGTTTGACTGTAAACATCGTGAATAAAGAGGCCGTTTTGAACGTGTGACTTGCTATATCAACAGCTGGGGCGGCGAACCGAAATCCCGAAGGTGTGAGTTCGAATAATTTGTGTTTACCTTTGGAGTGTCTCATCATGAAAATATTTAATGCGGTATCAATCCCTCCAAACATGTTGCCAGTGTTGTTGTTGTCATTATGACAGAATCGCTTGGCCTTGGGGAAAGCTTTTCGCTTGACGAAATTCGAAACAAGTGTGATTGAGAATGTGGTTGCAGTCGAGGTTGCAGTTCCTGTCTTCGTGGCAAAGCCGGGGGAGAAATTTTTGACCGTGCAAAAGCTGGATAAACTGAGCAAAAGTTCAAGCTCGTGCGTGCTATGGAGATGATTTCGTTATAAACAACAAGAGTTCAATAGATTGACAGTGACGAGAGTACGAGGCGCTAAGATTATATTCAACTTTTTTGTGTTATACGTATGTATGTTTTGAAATTATGAACTGGAAGTATGAATTCACTGATATTACTCTCATATATATTGACACTAAATGATGATATTCTTGTGACACTGAATGATCTAATAGTAATATTAAATTAACTTAAACAATTCTGGTCAATCTAGTGATCACGTTAGTTCACTTCATCATGTCTCTTCACAGGACAATTGCTAAATATAATTATGCTTGTTTCCCTCTATATCAGAGCTCATCAGAATGCTCAGGAAACACTGATAAAAATTTTATTACATCAACAAATCTTTCTTTTTCTTAACTGATTTATATATGATTTATTATATATAAATGATTTACAGATTTATAACAGATTTATGATATGATAATACATATAATTTATAAACAATTATTATTAGCACACATATATCCAAGGGGATAGGCATGCATATGACTCAAGGGCTTATGGCCCCCTGAAAATACTGAATATACTAAATATAATTACAGTTTGTGACATGAACAGTCAGTCAGGTAAGCACCATTCACATAAGAACCTGTTTAGGCTAACTTGGAAAAAATCTAGGTCCTTATTATATGCAGGGTAACCAGGGTTTTACTGTGTTGTCTGATTTCATGTCACAAAACAGGCCATAGCAGCTTGTGCTGACAATATATATATGCATGGGATGGTGCCACTCTTTGTGACACAAGATCAGGCAATCATAGTACAAAATGAACTGGGTTGTGTTTCAGATTGCTTTGTGTAGGAGGCAATCCATCTAGATGAAAGAAAGCTCGGATTTAAAACCCCCAGACCCCACCTTTGGGCAATACATGTAGTGACTACATGATCATTAGAGCTTGGAAATTAGGTTAAATTCTTAAAGAAAAGGACTCATTTTTGGTATGTGCATGAGGTATAATTTACATGTATATAAATTAATATTGTGCCCAAATTATCTAACTAATAGCTATGACTATGTGTAAAGCTATTCTGTAAAGCTATACTGTAAAGCTGCTAACATGCACTCAATGACATTTTCAGTATTCTGGATTATTTTCATTACTTTGTGAAGAGTTTATTTTCTTTGATTTATATACATTTTTGATTTGTCTTCATGTGATAAAATAAGAACCTGAAATGTTAGCCTAAACAAATTCTTATTTTAGCGTGTCTAAAATAAAAAAATTTAGCCTAACAGGTTCTTAAATTATAGGTTCTTATATGCAAGCTTTTAGTCACAATTAGGGTGAAAAAATATACTAGTAATTATTAGTTGAGTTTGTTTACATCATATATAAGTTTCTGTGATCAAAATGTTTTATAATAAAACTAAATATTAGCTGAGCTAATTTAATTTAATTTTTAAACGTCAATTTTTAAACCTTATAGCAAAGTGTGTTTATAGATAATCGAACTACGAATCAAATTTTATAATCGCTGACTTTTTAACAGCTATCAGCACCAAACATTCTTACTTTTTCTGAATTAACGTCGGCAAAAATTTGCCGACCTGGGAGGTTGATAGGTCGGCATTTAGGTCGGCATTGCCAAATGCCGATCTCGTTTTCGAGGGCTGTGCTTTGATTAAAATATACTTTGATCAGAGAAACTTTTTATGTTTCTATTAAGTGAGCACAAGTTGTCCATGATATGAGAAGACAGTCAAAGACAGTAACGCATGGTCAAGTAGATGAATTTATATCATTTATCACTCTGACAATAATATATAAACAGCCATCCAAAACATGTTGACTCCAAATTGCTCATTAACACTTTTTCATTGACAACTCCTACTCACAAGTATCATATCTTTAGGCCTTAATTATATGGGTTTCAGTTTGTAAATAAAAGAGATAGAACAGTTCGTATGTAACGATACA